CCATTTTCTAGCTGGGTGTCAACCCAGGCTTTCTGAGCCTCAGTTTCTCTAATGGGAACCGAAGATAATAGCTTGACTCAGGGTGCTGAGAAGCATATGAAACACCGTGGTTCATAAGATCCCCCAGGATAGGCCTCTGCCCTGCTCTGAAACTGCCTCACTCCGCATGCTCCCACTCAAACTCATCCTTGTCTCTGGGCCTTTGCACATTCTGTTCCCTCTCTTTGGAGCGCTCTTCTCCTGACTGGCTCCTTCTCATCAGTCAGGTCTCACTAATCTCAATGTCACCTCCCCTGAGGGGCCACACCTATGTCAGGGTGCCCTAGCACTATCTTTTCCTTCATGGCCCTTGTTATGATTTGAAGTAATTGTTGACTTGTATGTTTCTCTCACTCCTAGAATGCCAGCTTCCTGGAGGCAGAAACTTTGCCTCATTCATTAGGGTGTGCCTGATGCTTAGAACAGCGCCTGGCTCGGGGCAGAAGCACACAGCCAGTTTTGTTGAATGAATTTATTTGGCACAACTGACACACCAAGCACCCCACGACTTGCCACTGAGGATCCAGTGGCTGTTAAACTGCCCTTATAGTGTCGAGCCTTTTACGCTCTCTTTGTGCCCCGAGAAGAACCGGAATGTTCTTCCTGTCAACATACGGGCAGAACTCAAAGGCCAAAAGGAATGAGAAAAGATCCAGTCCTGGACTCCAAGGACAACTTGTAGTGTTTACTCCTGGAAAAGATGTTGCCAATTATACCAACTTCTATTAAAATAAAAACACGCTTTACTGCCAATTCATTCATTCAAAAATACCCACATGGGTCAGGTACTGTTGTAGTTGCTGGCAGGCAGAGCTTCTGATAGAAAGGAAGTAACCAGAATGACCCTACCCCCCTGCCCCCTACCCCCTAACACTGCCACACCTTAAAATAACTTCAGCCCAAAGACAATAGAATTTTAATCTGATTTGTAATGTTGGCTCTAACATCTTGCATAAAATCAGAAACTTGGCATGGGTACCATCTCCAGGTTTCACTAGTTGTGCATGCATCATCTGTGGCGTGTGCAGCTCTGTCGGTTCCACTGTATGTGTAGATGTGTGCAAACACACGTGATCAAGATACAGAACATTCCATCACCGAAAAGATCTTCCTCACGCTGCCCCTGCAGTCGCACCGCTCCCTGCTCCCCCATTCTTAATGCCTGACGACCACTCATCTGTGCTCAATCTCTCTGATGTTGTCATTTCAAGAATGTTACGTAAATGGAGTCGTATGTGACCTTTGTGATTGGCTTTTTTCACTCAGCATGATTTCCCTGCAATCCGTCCAAGTTGTTGTATGTATCAATAGCTCATTTCTTTTCACTGCTGAGTATTCCATGGTCTGGGAATACCACAATCTGTTTAACCATTCACCCATCAAAGGACATTTGGGTTGTTCCCATTTTGGGGCTATTGCAAATAAAACAGCTATGAACATTTGTATATGTGTATTTTTTTATTTTTTTTTTTAGAGACAGGGTCTTGCTCTGTCACTCAGGCTGGAGTTCAGTGACATGATCATAACACACTGTAACCTTGAACTCCTGGGCTCAAGTAATCCTCCCGCCTCAGCCTACCAAGTAGCTAGAACTACTGACATGCACCACCACACCCAGACAATTTTTAAATTTTTTGTAGAGACAAGTCTATGTTGTCCAGGCTGGTTTCAAACTCCCGGCCTCAAGTGATCCTCCCGGCATTGGCCCCCGGGATTACAGGCATGAGCCACTACACCTGGCCTCTTTTTTTCCTTTTTCCCAAAGGTACCACATCAGCAAATTGTGTACGCCTTTTTGCGTGGACATGTCTTTATTTTTCAGAGATAAATGTCCAGGAGGGTATAAGTAATTGCTTAGTTTTAAAACAAACTGCCAAACTATATTTCACAGTGGCTGTACCATTCTACATTCCCACCAGCAATGAGAAATCCAGTTTCTCTACCTTCTTGCCTGAATGTGATAGTCACTACTTTTTTGTTTTAGTTCTTTTAATAGGTGTGTAATAACATCTCATTGTGGCTTAATTTGCATTTCCCTACTGGCTAAAGGTGTTGAACATCTTTTTGTGAGTACATGAAATATCCTCTTTGGTAAAATGTATGTTGATAGTTTGGCTTTTGTTGGGTTTTGGGTTTTTATGTGTGAGACACATGAGTTCTTTGCCAGCTGTGTGGCTTACTGCTTAAAAGTTTGACTTTAGATGAAGGCCGGTGATCGATTTTTTCTTTTATGGATTGTTTTTGGTGTCATATCCACGATCTCTTCACCTAGCCCTAGGTCCTGAAGATTCTCATCTATTTTCTTACATTTTCTAGTTTTATGTTTTACCTTTAAATCTGTGACCCATTTTGAGTTCATTTCTGTATAAATTGTGGGATTTATTTTTTGAAAAGACTGCCCTTCACTGAATGTTCAAAAATCAGTTGGCTGTCTTAGGTGTGGTGGCTCACACCTGTAATCCTGGCACTTTGCGGGGTAGAGGCAGGAGGATCACTTAAGGCCAGGAGTTCGAGACCAGCCTGAGCAAGGGCGAGACCTCATCTCTACGAAAAACAGAAAAATTAGCTGGGCATGGTGGCACGCACCTGTAGTCCCAGCTACTCGGTAGGCAGAAGCAGGAAGAGCCCAGGAGTTTGAGGTTGCAGTGAGGTATGATGATGCCATTGCACTCTAGGGTGAGTGACAGAGTAAGATCCAGTCACAAAAAAAAAAATCAGTTGGTTGTACTCGTGTAGGTCTATTTCTGGGCTCTTTATTCTGTTCCATGGATCCATTTGTCTATCCCTCTGCCAATATCCCATTGTCTTGACTAATGCAGCTATACAATAAATCTTAAAATATGGCATAGGGATTCTTCCCACTTTATTCCTGTTTTTCAAAATTGTTGCAGCTACTCTAGTTCCTTTGCCTTTTCATATACATTTTAGAATAAACATGTCTGTACCTAAAAAAAAAAATACCTCCCTGGAATTTTCATAGGAATTGCATTAAATCCACAGATCAATTTGATAAGAAATGCTATCTTTACTATGTTGAGTATTCCAATCAACAAACATGGTGTGTTTCCATTTTTTTAGGTCTGATTTCTTTCATCAGTGTTTTGTAGTTTTCAACATACAAGCCTTATACATGTTTTGTTAGATTTATATCTAAGTATTTCATTTTTGG